GGGGACGTGCCCCCCTAGGCCCCCTAAATCCGCCTCTGCTTAGGGAATGCTTTTTTTTTCCTCCATTTTGTGGTCTCAGATTCAATCTCCTATCCATTCCCTTACAAATGGCTAAAACGAACATGATTGGTGCAACAAAATGGGTTCCTTAAACGTTTCTTCCATCTTGCCACCACCGATTGCTTTCTTGGGGACATGAACAGGTGATCATCATTCACTTCAATACTAAAATACTCTAAATTAACTCAATCGAACAAATATGAGGGTGCAATGTCAATCCATTATGTTGGTGATCCGAGAAAAAAAGGACGAATACACTACCTTATAGGGGTGTTCACCCATCCCCTATTATTCTTACAACATAGTATATATATTGTCAGTGAAACTTGTGGATTCATGTGCACGTCATTTTGATCAATTAATTATTCGTTTATGCATGCTTATTATTTGGATTTGAGTTGAGAAACAATTTTCGAAAAGGTTTTACATATAAAGTGACAAGAACTTCCACATTGATATATACACAACTTAAGAGAAGGAGAGGTGGCAAAAGTGAGAACTACCTCGTTACGAATACCAGGAATAAGGTCTCCTAAACATTTAATGATGTCCCCAACAGCACTTGTTCGATCCTCCGATGTCTTGAGTGATGAATGAAGTTTAACATGAGCACCAACAGCACTGCTATCTTTATCCGACATAAAGGTAAAGACGTCTTGAAACTTTATAAGATGGTTGATAAAGCTGAGCCATTTAAGATAAATGTCAAATGTATTTAATGATTCCAAACTATAATAGAGAAGGTTCAAAAGCTAAAAACCAGATTTTTTATAAAATAGGCATCCCAACAAAACCATTTCATAGTTCATACCATAGACATCCGTGCGCAGGCGGCGCATACTGTAAAGCATACTTGTTTTCATTCAAAAAAACATGCATGTACATACGTTGAATGATATGCATATTGTAAATGTATTCGAGTGAAAAGGTGTATTGCAGATCACAAAAACATACATAAAAATTAAACACACCCACAAAAGAAAGATTCTCTGACATGTTAAGTTACAAAGGAGAAACTATTCAATCGTGATGTAATTTAGACCTATGAACACATTACATTGAACCTTTGATACACATTTACTATTTCACTATTCATCTTTTTCTTAATGAACAAGTTATTCCAGTATTACATAAACGATTCAAGGAATATAAAACATTGGCTCAATGTCCTCATCTTAGCACCACTAGATTTGGTGCGACCACAAAAAAGTTGGAATAATGGGTTACATGTTACATTTATCTGTAAAATAATTCTGAGGCAGATATTAGACTTGCAATCAAGTGAGTTGAAGTGCTGAAAAGAAACACAAGTATTCAAATAGAACTTCAATATTGGAGACCACTATGCGTGACTAAAAGAGCGATGCCAAACCAGATTCTGGTTAAAAGGAAGTGTCAAATGACTGTCTAAAGCATTTATTTGGTTAATAGATGCATAATTAAAGAATTCAATAATGCAAGCCATAGATGATCATGATGAAGGCAAGCCCTCATCCAATCATCCACCACAAACCTCAAGACAATCAGCCCTATTATGGTATTGCTTCAATGAAGACGTGAAAAGGAAAATTAACAATGATTTATAGCAATTCTACAAAATTCAAATCCTTAATATGTTTGTTTTTTACCTTTTGGTTTTCCCTTTTTTTCAGGAGATTGAAATTTGTTGATAAGTGTAAACTTACCCTTCGTGTATGTAACCAACAACTTCATCCTCCACAAGAAACGGAACGAACTGAGTCTGCAATTCCTGCATAATCCCATGAATTATATCATCTCGATGCAAGTTCGACGCCCAACTCATCCTTGACCACATTTCAGAGAGAATTTCCTTAAGCTTATAAAAGCCTCAAAATCGACAGACTTTTTCCACTGAAGAGTGGGGGAAAGGAAGAGAATTACGGATCCACGATTGCAAGTCCGAACTCTCTGGAAGTATCCTCGGAGATCGGAGAGATCGTCATCGTCACGCTCGGCTGCTCGGAGGGCATCATCCCACCCGAAGCCGGCGACCGGCATTAGCGCCCGGAGGCCGGTGACCATAGATCGGCGAACCGACTTCGGGGGTTTCACTGACTGAATTCCGACGCGAGGGCACGTTAAAGGATAGCTTCGGAGAGTTGCGACGACGTTGGGAAAGTGTCTGTAAGCCATGGCAGAAGCGAAGGCCCGCACATGAGCTTGTCCTTCTTCTGGCCTGGAAGATGAACAGCGCCTCGGGTGCAAGTGATCCGGCTTGGAGGCCGCTTGAGCTGGACAGGTTAGCTATATCAAGAGCGGCTAAGCTCCTTTCTTTGCTATTTGATGTCATCAATTTTGATCTGTCACGAATTTGAATGTACATTTAAAATAAAAAAAAAATTAAAATTAAATTCAAAAATATTTAGATTCCTATTTCAATAAATTTATAGTCAAATTAAATATTTCAATGAGATAAACCAATGATATCAAAAATGATCCAATTCGAATTTGAATGTGCCTAGGGATGTCAAACTAATCAATGAGTTGGTTCAGGTACAACCCGAATTGACATGGGTCTAAATGGGTTGACCCTCGCCCAATCCGATTTTACAAACCAGTCAAAAATTTCAATATGAATCTGACCCGCATTGCTTATTGGTTGACCTGACCGCGTGAGTTATCGGGTTGACCTGACCCGATCCTCTAACCTGAAATACGATAACTAATTCAAGCGTGGTCCTCACATACGTGAGTGGGAGTAGGTCTGTGATGCCTGATCGAGTGCAAATACAACTCATGTGAGCGCGGGAAGGAAAGGAGGGCGCAATCTCGAGCGGGGGAGGGGTCGGACTCTGGAGGGCAAGCGGATCCTACGCTAACGCTGCGGGCGATCGCGAATTCAAGTCGACTGTGCTGCTGCAGGAGCAGGAGGTCACGAGGGCGGCACATCTTCATATTTCAGGTCAACCCTAGTTGGTGGTGGAATTCCGGTGTCACGACCCAACCCGACCAGAACAAATCCCATCACGTTAAGTCGCGACAGATGAATCCAGGTTCTAGTTTTGGAATTTGTTTAAGACTTTCTTCCAAAAATCAAATAGACAAAAAACATAGAGCAACTATAAACATCCAAATATACGGACAAGATCATCCAAAAAATTTTTTTTTCTCATTCTTCAAAATAATCATGTACATTACAGTGCATGGCTATAACCGAAAGACCGAAACAGAGCAGAAAAGCCATCTGTACAAAAAACAAAAGTACAAAAATATCTAATCTCAGATCAAATACCGAACGGCTAGTCCAAAACCTCATTCCCTTTCCTAGAACCTGAAAACCATGAAGATAACCACAGTAAGCTAACAGCTCAGCAAGACTACACTAGCCGATCTGAACTCTCAAATTCTCTCAAAATAAATAATAAAAAGCTTTTAAATACAGTTTATTTAGATAGCCATATAGAAATCAAAGTATCAGACAGAGTTCAGATATTTACATAGCACAGAAATCAAACAAAACATAAATATTCGTACAGAATAAAAAGATAACAAAGACAAAATAGCTGAATAAAATTTACGTCACAGAATTATTCAAATCAGAATTCAATTCAAAGTTCAGAACAGATTTCAAAAAACATTCAAATCATATTTCAAAATAGATTTCCCTGACCAAGACAGAATCTCAGAGGATTCTAGCCCCTTATGCCTCCCTTCCCTGACACAGACAGAATCTCAGAGAATTCTGGCCCCTTATGCCTCCCTCTGTGCTTACAGCACCAAAATATATCAGATATATAGAATTATCATATCAAAATTCATTTTCAAGACCCAGACAGAATCTCAATAGATTCTGGCCCCTTATGCCTCCCTTCTCTGACACAGACAGAATCTCAGAGGATTCCGGCCCCTTATAACTCTCTTCTGATATCATGCACAACACATCAACATGAACTCACATCAGATACAGAGAAATCAGATTCGTATCAAAATATCGTCAAAAGGCATAATGTGTCTTACCTCCAGTCAGTCAACTTTCCCAACTACGGCGACGGACGAAAACGGACCGAAGACACCCAAAACGTGGTTTTCTTCCTCTTCCTTCGTTTTCTCTCTCCTGCACTTTCTCTCTCTTCAAAAATATCTCAAAATATCTTTTTAATGAACTCGATCGTCCAAACAATGCTCTCCATTCATCCCGGGACGAAGCTCTCTGGACACGAGCGTACAAACGATAATTAATTTCGTCTCTGGACGATGCTCTCGGAAAAAATTTTGTTCAGTTTGTCCCGGACTAACTCAGGTTCGTCTAGACTAACCTGCATTTTACTCAATTCATACTGGCAGTTCGTCCGTACTAACCATACTGATTTTCAACATTTTATTCAGTTCATCCAGGCGGTTCGTCCGTACTAACAGCACAAAAATAATTTTTTTCCAAACATAAATTGAAAATTTAAGGGTTTCACAATCTACCTACTTTAAGAAAAATGTCGTCCTCGACATTCCCAAAGTAAAATTGAGTCAGAACAGACTTGGATTCAAATGTCTCATGTCCTATTCCTTCTCCCAAGTGTCCTCTCTTATCGTTCTGAACTTCCACTGTACCTTAACCATAAGGATCTGTTTACTTCTCAACTTTCGCACATCATAAGCCAAAATCTTTTCAGGCTCTTCTTTATACTGCGGATTTGCCTGAACTTCAACATCATCAGCAGAAAGTTTCTTTCCAGTATCAGATATCCACTTTCTCAAAGAGGATACGTGAAACACGTTATGTATATCAAACATCTGATCAGGCAATAACAACTTGTAAGCGGAATTTCCAACCCTTTCAATGACTTCAAAATGTCCGACATACCTTGGACTGAGCTTGCTTACTCTTCCAAATCTGCTAACATCTTTCATCGAACTGACTTTGACATAAACAAAGACACCAATATGGAATTCAACCAGTCCATGTTTCTGATTGTAATACTTATGCTGCCTATCATGTGCAGATTTCAACATTTCTTTAATCAAATTGATCTTTGTCATAGTATCATGCACAAAACTTGAACCCATTACTTGTCTATCTCCCACCTCAGTCAAAGTCAAAGTAGTTCTACACTTTCTGCCATACAGAGCTTCGTAGGGTGACATACCAATGCTTGACTGATAACTGTTATTGTATGCAAATTCTATCAGTGGGATATAATCTTCCCAGCTACCTCCAAAATCCAAAACACATAATCTCAAAAGATCTTCCAATACTTGAATAGTCCTCTTAGACTATCCATCAGTCTACGGATGAAAAGCCGTACTAAAATGCAATTTTATGCCCAAGCCTTGTTGAATTCCTTTCCAAAGTCTAGAGGTAAACTTATCATCCCCATCCGATACAATCACTTTCGGTACACCGTGCAATCTAACAATTTCTTTAACATAAATATGAGTTAACTTATCCACCGGATCCATCTGTCTGATCGAAAAAAAATGTGCAGACTTCGTCAATCGATCGACAATTACCCAAATAACATCATATCCTTGCCTCGATCTAGGAAAACCCATAACAAAATCAATCGTCACCTCTTCCCACTTCCACTCAGGGATAGACAACTACTACAAAAGACCTCCTGGTCGCTGATGTTCTTCCTTCACTAATTGATAGGCTTCTCATTTCAAAACGAATAAACTCCGCTATGTCCTTTTTCATTCCCAGCCACCAAAATAAGATTTTTATATCTCTGTACATCTTACCACTTCCTGGATGAATGGTATAGCCTGAATAATGAGATTCATGCAGAATCTCTTTTCTCAGATCTCCAAACATAGGAATTTACAGCCTATTCTTACAGAAAATAATACCAGAATAAAAAATTCGTAGTTCAGGTTTCTTACCAGATTCGATCTGATCAATCAACTTCAAATATTCAACATCTGACTTTTGAGCTTCATGAATCTTCTCTTTCAAAAATGGCTGAATACTCATCTGAGTCACAATACCAGAATCTGAACTAATAGAGAAAATCACCTACAATTGCAATCTTTTCATATCTCGTATCAGATACTCATTAGAAGTGAGCTAAACACATGATAATCCAGAAGACTTCCTACTCAAGGCATCTGCCACAACATTAGCTTTACCATGCTTATACTGAATAGTCAGATCATAGTCCTTAATCAACTCAAGTCATCTTCTTTGCCTCAAATTCAGATCCTTCTGAGTGAATATATACTTCAAACTCTTATGATCCGTGAAAATCTCACACCTGATGCAATACAAGTAATGACGCCAAATCTTCAAAGTAAATACAACAGTAGCTAATTCCAAATCTTGCGTCGGGTAATTCTTTTCATGTGGTTTCAACTGTCTTGAAGCATAAGCTATTACCCGAACATGCTACATCAGAACACAACCCAAACCTTTCAGTGAAGCATTACTGAATACCTGAAATCCTTCTGTACCAGATGGAAGTGCAAACACTGGAGCATAAGTTAAATAATTCTTCAACTTCTGAAAACTAGCTTCACACTCTGGTGTCCAAATAAAAGCTATTGACTTCTAAGTCAGTCTTGTCAAAGGTGCAGAAATTTGAGAAAATTCTTTCACAAATTTTTAATAATATCTAGTCATGCCTAAGAAACTACGTATCTCAAACACCGTAGTATGCCTTGGCCAATTAGCAATTGCTTGAATTTTCTGTGGATCAACAAAAATACCTTCACCGCTCACTACATGTCCTAGAAAAGAAATGCACTTCAGTCAGAATTCACACTTAAAGAATTTTGCATTCAACTGATGTCGACTCAAAGTCTCCAATACACTTCTCAAATGTCTGGCATGATCTTCCTCTAAAGTAGAATATATCAGGATATCATCTATGAAGACAATCACAAACTGATCCAGATAATCTTTGAACACTCTGTTCATCATATCCATAAAAATAGCTGGTGCGTTGGTTACTCCAAATGGTATAACCAAAAACTCGTAGTGCCCGTACCGAGTACGGAAAGCGATTTTCATCACATCTGCTTCTTGTACCTTCACCTGATAATAATCAGATCTCAAATCAATCTTTGAGAATATAGAAGATCCAATAAGCTGATCAAAAAAATCATCAATCCGTGGCAACAGATATTTATTCTTGATTGTAACTTTATTGAAATCTCTATAGTCAACACACATACGCATTGTACCATCCTTCTTCTTCACAAACAGAACAGGTGCTCCCCAAGGTGAAACAATAGGACGGACAAATCCTCTATAAACTAGCTCCTAGAGTTGAACTTTCAACTCTGCAAGTTCCTTCGATGCCATCCTGTACGGAGCTTTAGATA